ACACTTAATTCCAAATCCTCTGAAATAAAACCCTCTGTTCTGCATTCATTTTTAAATAGATATTCTAATGTCTTTGATATTAAAAAATCATCATATAATGTCACAGTCACACATCACATAAATGTCAGAATTTGTAAATTTATAGATAGATTTATCAATGAATAGATAGAGCATTTATTAAATGCTTAGTCTGTGCCAGACACTATGGTATGTTCTGGGATATAGATACAAGCAAACAAGATAATCTCTACCCTCAGAGGATTTACATTCCAATGGGGAAAGACAGCATATAAACAGAGCTGGAAGGGGGGAGGAGCTATGGTAGGTAGGAGGGAACCTCAGAGGAGGCAAGGTGGATGGGGAAGAGGTAGAGAAGTCCAGAGACAGTCAAGCCAGGAGTGATGTGACCATGGCTAGTACCCTTCATGAAATGGTGGTCTGGGCTAGGAAGTCACCAATCAGGAGAATGGACCTTAGGGTAGAGGTTTCTCCAGGGCTAGAGAAATGGTTGGGAAGGAGATGGAGAACTTGAGAGAGTGAGTCAAACCTGGAGACAATACTGTATACTGGGGACAAGAAATGAAGTGGCTAATCAGTTGAAACCCGGAAAGATTGACGTGGAAATGAAGATATTTTCCTATGTGTCAGGAAACTCTCACTCATTTAATGTCTGCTCCTGAGGTGGTACATACAGAACAGGATAGCTTGTTTGAGCCAAAAGGTAATCCTACCTCCCTAGTCAGCCTTTGTTAGACTATCCAGGGCTCTCTGAGACTTGAGTCTAACTAAAGGCTTTTGTGGGGCATTCAGAGGACAAGATGATAAAACATGACTCTCCCAGCAACAGGGTGCACACCCAGTCTACACGTCTACACAAATTTGTAGAGGGAAATACTTTGAAAGTTTGTGAGTTTGGTGGAGGGTTTCTTGTTTCTCATCACCTCAATCCAATAAAATGGAAACCATCTTGTGGCCACTGCATTGGCTTAGAATGCAAGCTAAGACAGAAAAAGTCCGGGTGAGAGGGAAGAAGGAAGTGCTATTTCTCCTCTGCATGTTCCAGGACTGTGCAATCTCCAGTGTGGAGAGAGAGGTTGAGTGACTTAAAGAGAATTGAAAATAATAGCAACAGGCTTATTTAGTTAAGTGAAGGCTTTAAAGACTGAATAATAAACCTTCCTAGATTTGAAAATATCATGAAATTAAAGCAAGTTATCAGCTCTTCTCTGTTACAACTGAGGGCAACATACAATTTAAGCTATATTATCAGGGATTTAAGTTGAATATAAGGAAGAGTTACTGTTGGTAAGGGTAAGGTCTGGTAAGAGTTACAAAAAGACCCAGATTGAAGTACCACCTCTGACATATATTAGTCATATATTTCTAGGCAAGTCATTAGTGCCCTTAGCAACTGTCTAAAACTAATTTAGCCAGGAGTATAGACATATATTGGTGAAGGGAGTTTCCACGATGGAAATTCCCTATACTGATTAAATCTGAGGTCCATACATCTGTTGCTGTGTCCTTTCACTCATGTTTGACTCTTTGTGAAATCATTTAGGGTTCTTGGCAAAGATACCGAAGTGGTTTACCATTTCCTTCTCCAGCTCATTTTACAGATAAGGAACTGAAACAAACAGGGTTTGACTTTGACTTTCCCAGGGTCACACACTAATAAGCGTCTGAGGCCCAATTTGAGCTCATAATATGAGCCTTCCTGACTTTAGGCTCAGCACTCTATCCACTATACTACCTAGCTGCTATGCCTCTAACCCAATCAAAGAAACCAAGGTAAAACAAAATAAGACAAAAGAAAATAAGGTTTCTAACAGAAATTATTAAGTGAATGTCTTTAAAACCAGACAAACTCTTCAATTAAAAATAAATTTTATTGTTAACATTTTTAATATCTCCTAGATTTCTACCTATCTCCCTCCTTCTTTGCTTTCCTCACAGAGAACCATCTCTTGTAAAATATTTTTTTAAGAAAAAAGAGGAAGGGAAAAAAATCAGCAAAACCAGGTGATACTTCTAAACACATCTGACTTGATGTGTAATGTTCTACACTTGTGAATCCCTTAGTTATTTCTGCAGGAGAATTGAAAGAGATATATAGAGGTTCTTCTGTACTTGAGAGAATGAAGGTATGTTATTATTTGGAATCAAAGAAATGAACTAAATAACCTTCAATATCTTGGTCTTCCCCGGCCCAAGATCTTATGGGTCTATTCTGATTTTAATGACCCCAGGCCTTTCTTATTAAAGTATGAAAAATAATAACATCTTCCCACATCTGAGATTCTGACTTCCTATGTATTCTACAAGATATGAGGGCTCAGGCACAAAAATTTCCACTATGAGAGGTCTCTTGTCTAGCAAATTGTCCATAGTTTTAGGTAGTGTTGATCTAGAAGGTGATTTCTTTTTTTGAATAATATTTTTCCCAAATATATAAAAACAATTTTTAGCATTCATTTTTTTTTTAAATTTTGAGTTCCAAATTTTTTCCCACCCTCCCCTCTCCCCTCTCTGTGATGGTAAGCAATTTGATATTGGTCATATGTGTGCAATCATGCAAATCATATTTCTATATTAGTCATGTTGCGGAAGAAAGCACAGACCAAAAAAAATCCACAAAAAAAATAAAGAAAGTGAAAAATAGTATGCTTCCATCTGCATTCAGACTCCATCAGTTCTTTCTCTGGAAGTGGATAGCATTTTTCACCATTGAGTTCTTTGGAATTGTCTTGGATTTTTGTGTTGCTGAGAATAGCCAAGTCATTCGCAGTTGATCATCTTACAATGTTGATGTTACTATATACAATGTTCTTCTGGCTCTGCTTACTTCACTCTGTATCAGTTCATGTCTTTTCAGGTTTTTCCTGAAACCATTCCCTTTGTCATTTCTTATAGCACAATAGTGTTCATTTACAATCATATACCACAACTTGTTCAGTCATTCCCCAATTGATGGACATACCTTTAATTTCCATTTTTTTTTGCCACCACAAAAAGAGCCGTTATAAATATTATACAAATAAGTCCTTTTCCCTTTTTTTGATCTCTTTGGAATATAAACCTAGTAGCAGTATTTCTGAATCAAAGAGTATTCATGGTTTTATAGCCCTGTGAGCATAGTTCAAAATTGCTTTTTAGAGTGGTTGGATTAGTTCACAACTCCACCAACAGAGCAATAGTGTCCCAATTTTCTGACATACCCTCTAACATTTATCATTTTCCTTTTCTGTCATATTAGCCAATCTGATAGGTGTGAGGTGATACCTCAAGAGTTGTTTTAATTTGCATTTCTCCAGTCGATAGTGATTTAGAGCATTTTTCATATGACTATATAAAGCTTTGATTTCTTCATCTGAAAACTGCCTGATTATAGCATTTGACACTTTGTCATTTGGGGACAGACTTATACTCTTATAAATTTGACTCTATATATTTGAGAAATGAGGCCTTTATTGGAGACAGTTGATATGAAAAAATTTTCCCTGGCTTTCTGCTTTCCTTCTAATCATGATTACATTGGTTTTGTTTGTACAAAAACCTTTAGATTTAATATAATCAAAAATATAAATTTTACATCTTGTAATACTCTCTATCTTGTTTGGTTATAAATTCTTTCCTTCTCCATAGATCTGACAGGTAAGTTATTCCAAGCTCCCCTAATTTTCTTATGGTATCACCATTTACGTCTAAATCACGTACCCATTTTGACCTTATCTTGGTACACTGTATGAGATGTTGGTCTATACCTACTTTCTTCCATACTGTTTTCCAGTTTTCCCGGAACTTTTTGGGAAATAGTGAGTTCTTGTCCCAAGAGCTTGGCTCTTAGGGCTTACCAAACACTGGGTTACTATGGTCATTTACTATTGTGTATTATGTACCTAATCTACCACTTTATGTCTTCAGAAAATGATTTCTATGACAGGACCTCTATGCAATCCTATACAGCAGGGGTATAACACTAACCTCCAAGGAGTATTCTTAGTACAGAAGAGTTTCCCTGTGTCCATTCCACTCTAGTCCCCTGTTCCAGCATTCTTATTCCTTATGATACTTCAGGCTACACTTCGGGACTAAAGGCCAAGATGAGGTAAACTCAGTGGATAGTTTCTTGTAGAGGGATTTTAGAGGCCACTGGTGGGGTGGTCCTCTGATATTCTATTAAAGAGTCAAGAAATATTAAATGTCTACTCCATTAGGCTTCAGGAGAAGGTGAGGCAAGAATACAAAGAAATATGGCCTACAGTCTACCTTCAAAGAGGTGGGGGACAGCTAGTCAGCTCTGTGATGTAGGAATTCAGAAGGGATGCTTTCTTAGGACTGAGTGGTTAAGGATGTGCCCTTAAGGTGGTGGAATTTGAGCTGAGCCTTGAAGTTTAGATAGAATTTGGATAGTCAGGAGAGAAGAGAGGGTTTTTCAGTCAAGGGAAATAGTTCAAGCCTAAAGTTGCTGCTGTCCTCCAACATTTTCCATTCTTGATTACGGCAGAATCATAACTAACAACACTGGTACCCAAAGCAAGAAATACTAAATGTATCCTCAAATCAACTGGTGGAGGTGGGGAGACATGTATCCCGACACATCCATGTTGGGGAAGATTGAAGATCCCAAGTTATCAGCAGGTTGAGTTAGGGAGCTCACTTGGTATACATTTGTGTACTCTCAATATTTCAGGGTCCTAGGGTAAAGCACAGGTTACCTAGCTGTAGTTATGACTTTGGCTGCAAGAATGATCCCCAAAGGATAAAGAGCCTGAGAGATGGTGGTAATCCTAGTATTGGCATGGTGCTTATGGCTCCTGGTACTCTTCATCAGAGATAAGTTTATTCTGCAGTATGTAAATTCTATGTGTGAAAATTTTCTGTTAGGTAAGTGTAAACTATGGGAAAGTCTGATAAACATTTTTGCAGATAGGTACATTTTTGGAAGACTCTTAAAAGTTTACTTCAATCTTAGCTGATAATGCCCTTCTGTTTTCTAGGCTAGACGACAAAAACCCTGGAAATTCTGTAATGAACCTGTAAAGGGGAAGTATAAACTGTGGATGGCAATTGTTTCTATCTTCATAGGCCTCATTCTAGTAATTTTTATAAGCGTGATTATCCATGAAGGTAAGAATCTTAAAAAAAAGATAATTTGATTCATATATGTGTAGAGATGTATCTATATCCATACACACACTATGTGTATGTGTATTCGTGAGCTCATGTATAGCTTTTGACATAGAAATACCACAACTAGGTTTTTACCCCCAAAGAGATAAAAAAAAAAAAGGAAAAGGACTCATATATACAAAAATATTTATAGCAGCTCTTTCTATGGTGACAAAGAAATGGGAAAGTGAAAGGATACCTGTCAAATGGAGGATGATTGAACAAGATATAGTACATGAATATTCATGGAATACTATTGTGCTGTGAGAAATGGCAAAGGGATCGGTTTCAGGAAAAACTTGGAAAGACTTATATGAATTAATGCAAAATGAAGTGAGTAGAACTAGGCGAATGCATATATGGTAATAGCAATATTGTAATGATGACCAGCTATGAAAGACTTAGCAACATTGATCAACATAATAACCCACAACAAATCCAAACGACTGTGAAAAACGTTATCCATCTCTAGAGAGGTAACTGATGAACTGTGAATGAAGATTGAAGCACAATTTTTCCACTTTATTTTTCTTTCTATTTTTTTTGTGAAAATATGTTTTACATGATTTCATTTGTATAGTGGGTATGGTATTTCTTCTGTTCTCAATAGGTGGGGAAGGGACTAGAGGAAAGAAGAGAATTTAGAACTGGAAATAAAATTTTAAAATGAAGAACAAAGCAAAGTATGCCATGGGGAGGGAACAGTGGGGAGAAAGGAAATTAGGGACTTGGCATCATCATGGAGAATACGTTTGAGCGATTGATTTATTTGAGCACCAGAGAAAGAGTTAGAAATTCTCCTGTTGCAACCTTTGTGTAACCTGGAAAATGTCACTTAAGCTTTCTGAAATTATTTCCTCATCTGTACAATCGGGATGATAACATCTGTCCTGCCTTCTTCACAGGGTGGTTGAGAGGTTAAGATTATGTAATAGGTGAAACCATTTTGAAAACTTCAAAACTATAAAAACCAAGGAATTAAAAAGACAAGAAGGATGAATAAATACATATTAAATCATTAATCAATTTAATATCAATGTAGAAAGGAATAAAGACTTTTTGGAGAGAGTAACAAAAACATTCTGTTTTTCCTTAGGGATCTAATAGCTGTTTTCAGACATTCAAAGGGTCCTCATGAGGAAGATGATCTAATTTGTTATGTTTAGCCCCAGAGGTCAGAGCTAGAGGAATGAACAAAAGTTGCAGAAAGGCAAATTTTGGCTTGATTTCAGGAAAAACCTCCTAACAATTGAAGCTGTCTGAAAGTAGAATGGGATGTACCTAGAATGGGATCCCCCTTCCAGGAATCTTCAAGCTGAAGCTAGGTAGCTAGCTACTGGTTAGGCATGTTATGGTAAAGCTGGTTGGATGGTTGGATGGTTGCTGAGTTCTATTCCAACTCAAAATAAGTGTTGTGATTTCCTAAGAATCACTGACGTTCCCTAGGAATCATGATGCATTTCAATCAATCAATCAGCATTTTTTTAAAAAAGTGTTTACTATGTACTGTTTTGCCTCCTGTAGGTGAACTACAGCTCTGGAAAAAAAAAAAGGCTTTGAAAGAGCCCATTGTAATTCAAATGGAGCTACTACCATGGCTTTAAATCCAAATCACTCTGGCTCTCCCTAATTGGCCAATAATAGGTCCCAGCCCAAGCCTCACTTGCTTACTCTTTGGATGTCTCAGAGTGAGTCAAATAGCAATTGTTTTCTGTTCAGGCCAGAATCTCTAAGGGTCTTCTCCTCCCAGATTGTTGTTTCTTTTGGGAAAGCAAACGAGGCCATCTTTTGTCTCAATTCTAACCTAGCCTTCAATCACTGAATGGGTGTTGCCTCAGACAAACTGAGACCTGGGAAAGACCTTAGTTTAAAAAGACCAAGGTCTTCCACTGCATTCTGACCCCATCTCCAGTCATCTTGACTTATATCTTGCCACTGGACTCCAATGACTCCAGAGGAGAGAGCGAGTCTGATGTCTGCACTGTTCTGCCTCATTTAAATCCAACTCACTTGCAAGTCAATACATCACCATGCTGATGTCATTGGTCCTCTTTATTTTGTATTAGGTATCATGCTAAGTGCTAGGAGTACAAAGAAAAAGCAAAAACAGTCCCTGCCCTCAAGGACCCTGCATTCTAATGGGAGAGTCTATGTATGCCTATGTAAGTAAACAAGATCCAAATAGATAGGGATGCACTGAATCTAGACAGCCAGTCTTTACATTTTCAGTGCAATGATTTACACCTCAAAAATCACTGCTAGAAATCAGGACTTGATTTATTGTTTTATTGATTGTCTAGCCTGAAAAAAGTGATGGAGAAAATGTTAGCAATGCTGTTTAAACTTAAAAGTGTGTTGTGTACACACATACACACACACACACACACACACATACACTCTCACTCACACACTTCCCCCCCTTTTGAGAGATGGTTGCCAAACACTGAATAACACATGCCTGCATATATACTTTGTATCCTAGAGGGGAAGGTATTTAGTAGTTGGGGAACTGGGAAAGACCTTCTGCAGAAGATTCCCTGTGAGCTAAGTCTTGAAGGAAGGTAGGGAATTCTAAGATACTGGACGTGAGGAAGAAGAGCATTCCTAGGCATCACCGAGAGGGTGCAACAGCATAGAGGTTTAGGAAGAGCTCCATGTATGAAGAATGGCATGTAGGCTAGTATAGCTGGACCCAAGAGCATGTGGAGGTGAGTAATGTGCAGAGTGTTCCAAAAGTCTTAGTGTAGTTTTCAGCAATTGAAGTTTGAAGTTAAAACTGTACCAAGGGGCAGCTAGGTGGCACAGTGGATAGAGCACCAGCTCTGGAGTCCGGAGGACTTGAGTTCAAATCCAGCCTCAGCCACATGACATTTACTAACTGTGTGACTCTGGGCAAGTCACTTAACCCCAATTGCCTCACCAAAAAACAAAACAACAACAACAAAAAACTGTACCAGGATTTTTGGAATATCCTATGTAAGAAGACTAGAAAGATAAGAAGGGGGCAATTCTGCAAAGCCTTAAATGTCAAACAGAGTAGTTGGTTTTGTTTTGTTTTGTTTTTTAATCCTAGAAGTAATAGGGAGCCACTGGAGTTAACTGAGTGAGGAAATGATAGGAATAATATGGTCAGATTTGTGCTTTAGGAAACTTACTTTGGAGCATGTAGAGGATAAATTGGAGTAGGCAGAGATGTGAGGCACTTGCTTCTCTTCTGTCAGATACTCCTATAAAGCATGAGAAAATAAAGAGAGGAAACATAGTAGTCTTGGAATGGTGCCTGCAAAGTCTCACTGGCCTCTTGTTTTGAAGATCCATTTATTTTCATATGGTTGAATGTTCAGTCTATTTAGAGAAACATCTGTGTAGCATATCTCTACTTTATGTAAGAGACAATTGTTTTATTGCCTCAAAATAAATCCTCCCCAGTCTATATAAGGGATAGAATCGATCATATCACTGCAGAGAATTAACACTATATAATTCAAAGTGTAGGCAGATGTTGAATAAAAATGATTTGATGATGTCACATGTCCCAACCTTTGCTTCCTTCCTCACCCCAAAGAATGGTTTGGGGATTTTATTTTCTATGACGCGTTTAAGTGATACTATGAGAAATAGATCTGTTTTCTTTCTGAAGAGGGAGTGAGTCTCAGAAGATAGCTTATGACATCACACTTTATTAGTAGACAGACAAGTTTCACAAGTCTAAAGTTCTTAGTATAAGGTGACTCATGGGAAAAATCTGTTGGCAGAGGTTGATGCCAAATTGCTAAGATGTTGGATAACAGGGACCAGGTCCTATATATCTTTGTTGCTTCCATAGCCCCCAGCACAATGCCTCACATATTGTAGATGTTTCTGTAGTCATGCCTATCACATTACCTAAGGGAATCAGGTTATCTTCCTCTGAGGGCCTTTGTAAATCTTAGTGCTATATAAATGAGTAATGATTTTTACTCATCCTCTCCATCCAATAATATTATGCAACTTTCTTCTTTCCCTTCTATTGCAGGAAGCTGGGTCTCCTTTCCAAGGCTAATCCTTACCCCAACTTCTCTTGGACCATGTTCTACCATCCTACCAGTTATCCCCCCTCTCACTACTCCATTCCTTCCTCCCTCTCTCCCTTCCTTCCTTCCTTCCTTCCTTCCTTCCTTCCTTCCTTCCTTCCTTCCTTCCTTCCTTCCTTCTCTCCCTCTCTTCTTTCCCTCCCTTCTTTCCTTTCTTCCCTCCTTTTTTCCTTCCCTCCCTCCCTCCTTCTTTCCTTCCTTCCTTTCTTCAACAAACATTTATCGAACACCTGCTGTATAGGGCAATGTGTGAGGCACTGAGGGGAGAACATAGTCTCTTTCCGGTCTCCTTGGCTCTCCTAAGCTCAGCCATCCTGGAAGTGCTGGAACTACTTATGGGCCTGATCTCACTGCTGATCATCATGGGAGCTTTGACCCAGTTTCCCCTCCTTGGGCAATCTGGTGGTCCTCCAGTCTTTAATGCTGGATATATGTGGATACTTGATTGTCTTAACCCTATTGTGGCTCAGAACTCCTGAGCCTAGGGGATCTACCAGTGTCAGCCTCTATAGTAGCAGTCATGTGCCATCGTGCCCAGCCACTTTCAACAGTTTTATAAATCAAATTCAGCAAACATTTATGAAACATCTGTCATATACTGGACACACTGATACTATGGATATAAAGATGCAACAAGACACAGTTTTTGTCCTGAAAAATCTTATTATTATAGTGGAAGACATAAGATATATTCAAATAACTGTATTACTAGTTTGAATACAGGGTGTCCCAAAAGTCTTAGTGTAATTTTAACATTAAAACTGCTTTTGGGACAGATAAAAAACACATACACATATATGTATATATGCATATATACATACATACACACACACACATACATATATATATATATATATAATTATAAATATGTAAGTACAAGTATAAATAAAACACAATTCCAGCTAAAAACTTACCTGAGTTGAGCCTTGATGAACCTTGGATAACTAATGTTATCTTTGGGTCTCAGTTTCCTCATTTGTAAAATAAGGAGTTAGGTATATATTGTCTCTGGAGTTCCTTCCAACTCTAAATATGTCATCCCAGGAGATGAAAGATTTCAATATATATTTTATGTGTCTCTGTGGTGATGGAGTGAGTCCTGCCAATCATGGGGATTGGCATGAGCAAGGCAGAGATGGGAGAGAGCAGGATAAAAATAAGAGATAGCAGGTGGTCACTTTTATAATCATTTTTAAAAATTCTGATTTTAACAAATACCAAATAAAATAAGCATTTATAAAGACATGGAAGAACAGAAAAAAGGGACTATACACAAAACCAGCACCAACATTAAGTTTATAGGTATTATATAGAATGTGAAGAAGAGCCATGTGAGATAAGCCTGGAAAGTAATGTTGGAACTAGATAAGGGAAGGCTTTGAATGTTAGGTGAAGAAGTTTATACTTTGTTCAATACCGTCTAGCATCATGACCTTGGACAAGTCATTTAACCTCACTCAGCCTCAGTTTCTTCATCTGTAAATGGGGGATAATAGCAACATTTATCCCTCAGAGTTTGGTTTCTTAAATTTTGTTGTTGTTATTGTTAGGATCAAAGGAGATCGTATAGTACTATATGAATCCTGGATCTTATATGGTCACCCATGGTAAGCATCAGAGGCTAGATTTGAACTTGGATCCTCTAACTCCAGATCCAATGTTGTTTCCTCCATAGGACACGACCTACCAAGAACATTGGTCTTCTTTTGGACTCATTCCTCAGCTCTTTTCACTCTTATCTTCCTCATAAATGTCATCTATGCTTACACCTTCAACTAACACCTCTCTACAGATAGTATCCATATAGATATATCTAGCTCCCAAGCACTTTAGTTCCCAATCTCCAAGTGTCTGCTAAACATCTGAGCTTTGAACTCCCATCACCATTTAAAGATGAACATGTATAAAACCAAATTCATCATTTTTTCCTCCCAAACCTAGGCTTCTTCCATTCCCCACCCTTCCCTCTCATTAAATATGGAGACCTGGGTTCTGATCTCAGCTGAGTGACCATGGATAAATCCTCTAACTTCTTGAGATCTTAGTTTCATCTACAAAATGAAAGCATTGGACCAGACGATCTCCAAGCTTCCTTCCAACTCTAAAAATTGCTGTCTCTAAATTTCTGTCCATGGTGCCATCATTCTTATCTTCCTTGGCTCCTCTTTAAGCATCTCCACATTCTGCCAGTTGCCAAGTCCTGTCATTCCTTCCTTGGCAAGGTTCATCATGTCCATTCTTATTTTTCCATTTCTGCTGCACACTAGTTGAGATTCTCATTACCTCATGTTTGTACTTTTGCAATGGACTCCAAAATGGCATCTATCTCTACCTCTAATCTTTCCCCCCTTTCAATGGATTCTACATGCCCCTGCCAGGTAATTTTCACTTGGCACATTTTACCCTGCTGCTCATGAATTGTTAGCACTTCCTCATTGCCTAGAGGATAAACTACTTGGTCTGGCCCCTACCTAAGTCTTTAATCTTATTTCCCATTACTACTACTTCTCACTACTAAGGACACTACGAATCCTTACTTTAGACAAACTGGTCTTTTTTTTTTTGGTCTTGAAATAGTGCCTTTATACCTTTGCACAAACTTTCTCCTTTCTGGAATGTCATTCCCCTCCATTCCTTCTCCCTCTCTCCTTTCTACTCCCAGCTTGTTTAAGGCCTAACTTTCCTTTAAGGTCCATCTTATCAAATGAGATAATTTAAGTAAAGTACTTTGCAAGCCTTAAAGTGCCATATAAATGCTAGCTGCTTTATTATTGTTATTATCATTGTCATCATCATCATTATTGTTGTTGTTATCTGGGGTTCCCTTTCCTCCATGAAATCTTTGCCAATCACCCATTTCCTCTTCTCTTTACTACTGTGGCATTTATTGATTACAGCATTCTCTGGGCACTTAGCACTGAACATCTTTTTGTGCATGTGGCCTATCTTGTCTACTAGATTTTGAGTCCGTACAGGATAGGGATTACGTCTTCCAACTTGTATTCTTTGTGCTGATGTCTAGCACATTTCCCAATACATAGGAGACATTTAATAAATATTTGCTGAATGAATGCATGAAGTGCTATAAATGTGGTCCACTCAGTGTAGAAGACATGTAATCAGGGCCTATTTGAGATTCCTCCTTAACCTTGGGCTTGCATTTGACCTTTGAAGTCATAGCATTCAAGGTTCGTAGACTTAGAAGTGGAAAGGACCTTAGGTATCCTTGAGTCTAATGCCCAGAAGATTGAGTTTTAGAGAGATGAAGTTGCCCAAGGTCAGAGATGGGATTGGAACACAGGCCTTCCTGACTCCAAGTTCAGCATGCTGTGTATTCTATCACACTGCCTTGGAATCCATTAGAATCCTGCACATAGTCTACGTTCATTACATTTCCTATAGGAGCAATGTGACTCAAGAAAGATACAAAGTTATCATTCTTCCTTTTTATGTCTCCTATTTGCCATTTTCCTAAGGAACAGATAAAATATTCTTTTGGGGTTTTTTTTACTAGATTTCTGTTACACGGAGGTTTATTCTACTATGGGCAGCTTGCCTTTTTAATGGCCACTTCAGGCCTTCACTGCCAGGTTTAATGGCTAGGTTTTGTTACATGGGGTCACCTATAAGCAAAAGCTGAGTTCCTATTACCCATTTATTTCCCATTGTCCAAGAGACAGTGCCCCATAGTATCCTATTCCACTAGGGTAATGTTGAGCTAAAGATGAATAACTGGTTATTCAACCATAGTGGCAGCTCCCAGATTTAAGGTTTGTTTTTCCTTTAAATTGAACAGATTAAAAAACAATTAGATAATAGCAAGAGCTCATTAGAACATAAATAGAAACACAGAACTCATTGTCTACAAGAATATAATTCCTAAACACTGCAGAGCCAGAGGCCAAGTTCAAAGTCTTTTTTCTGTTTGGCAAGTATTTTGTCAACATTCTAATTCCATGTATCAGTCCAAGGAAAAGACTGGTTTAAAAACAAACAAACAAACAACCCTCTCCATTTTTAAAGGTATGTTGGGAGATGGAGTGGAGTGGACAGATTTTATAAAAGTCTTTCATCTACATTCTAGTTTTAATTTTGTTGGTCAAAGTAACTTCTTTATCCTGACTCCCAAATGATACAAAAGTGAGTCATATAACATTAATTTTTTTATGATAAATATATACAGCCTTTAAGAAATATGATCATTTCCACATACAAACAACAGAAAAGAGCTTTGCATATGAAACTGTGAGGCTGAATTATATCTAACTTGTTTTATGTACATAATAAATTTACCACTGTAGTTCCTATACTATTCTGCCTGTTCCTGTCACTTTCAGAACTTTCCTTTCTCTACTATATATATTTACAAATATTTAATTAAGATTCTTTTCTTTCTTTTCTTTTTCTTTTTTTAAATCACCATCACTATCCTCTCCCCTCATAGCTCTGCTGCCCTAAGCAAAACACAAAAAAAGAAACAACAAAAAACAAAAACACAGAAAAAACCCAAAAGCCTTCTTTTGTAAAAAATAAGTATATTCCAGCAAAACTGATCCACACCTTAGCTGTGTCAGAAAATGTATGTCTCATTCTGCACTTTTAGTCCATCACTTCTCTGTTAACATGTGGGAAGTATGATTCATGTATTATCAGTCTTATAGAGTCATGATGATTTACTGAATTGATCCGAATTCTTAAATCTTTAAAAGTTGTTTTTCTTTGTTGTTAACTTGTTTCAGTTGTGTCTGACTCTTCATGAACCTGTTTGGGGTTTTCTTGGCAGAGGTACCGGGTTTGCCATTTCCTTCTCCAGATCATTTTACAGATGAGGAACTGAGGCAAATAGTTGCCCGGGGTCACACTGCTACTAAGTGTCTGAGCCAGATTTGAACTCAAGAAGATGAGTCTTTCTGACTCCAGACCTGGCACTCTATCCACTGTGCCAAGCTAGCTGCCCTATTTTTTCTTGACAGTGCAGTTATTGTGTGAATTATTTTTCTGGTTCAGTTTACTTTGCTCTGATATCTTCTCATGTTTCTCTAAATCCACCTCTTTTATTTTCATATGACACAGTAACATTCCATTACATTCCTATAACCTAGTTTGCTCAATCATTCCCCCATTGATGGGCATCCATTTCTTTCCTGCAACAAAAAAGTGCTGATATAAAAGTTTTGGGTTTTCTTTTTTTGTTTGTTTGTTTGCTTGTTTGTTTTTTACATATAGGTCTTTTCCTAATTTCCCTATTTATTTGATCTTTTGGAAAATCTAAGCCTACTAGTAGTATCACTTGTTTAAAGTTTAGTGATTTGAACAATTTAGTGACTTTTTGGGTGAAGTTCTGAATTATTTTTCAGAATGGTTGGCCCAATTCATATCTCCAGTATCTTAGTGACATTTAACATTTAGATACAGGTTCTCCTCTCCTGGCCCTATGATACTCTACTCTGATTTTGCCATGTCTTTGAACAGTTTTTTGATTCAGCCTGTGCTGTGGGCATCCATTAGCTAAGCTGAATTAATACCTTTCATCCCAGAATCTGTTGTGTGGGGTATCTGAGAATCAAAATGGATAAGGCTTAACATTTACAAAGAGAACTTACAGGTGAGCCTTCCTGGCGGCCTTTAGGGTCATTCATTTGATTTAAGCCTATTTCTGTTACTTGTGTTTCTAGGTAGCCTTTCTATATACAAACTCTGGCCTAGCTTAGTGTTCCTTCATCATAACACAGTACTTTACCTTCCTTCTTCACAACAGCCATAAGAATATACAGGTTCTTTTAATTTATTTTCAATGTCAATTTTGATTTGATTTTCTTTTTGTTTTTCCATTTCAGCAAACTACATAGATGAGGATGAAAATGAAATACTTGAATTAGCATCTAATAAAACATTCTTGGTCACACTGAAGATTCCAGAAGAGTGTATGGCTGAAGAGGACACATTATCTAATGAGCTCAGTAAAAGGGTAATTGTACCTTTTCATACTCTGTAATTTAGTTGTTAATAGTTAACAGGAAGCAGCTCCATAACTGCGTAACTCTGAAACTGGCTTTAGCCTTGCATGTTTCCTTTTGATTTGGCAGAAATCAAAGTTTGGAAGTGCTTTTTATAGATTTTTAAATACCATTTAAGTATGTTTGTCATTATTGTAATGAACACCCACAATAATCTCTCTTCATTCTTTCCTCTCCCCTTTGTTCAGTACTAGATGAATACTGAATGATAGTGATTGACTTGTAGACAAATGCATCAAGACTGGCCAGATGCCTTGGTAGGTTGGGATTGGGACTGATATTGGACTGGCCTAGAGTTTGTTCTCGTAGAACCCTTGCTACTTCTGGACCAATTCCAGAAAATGCCTAGGTCTAAACATCTGAGGGAAATCAGATTTTTACAAAATGTATTGATATCTTTTGTTTTTATATCACCTCCCCTTCCTTACTCAGCAAGCCATCTCTTGTAATTAAAGATCAAAAGAAGAAAAAAAAATCAGTTCAGTAAAATTAAATAACATAGGAACTGAGTTTGATGATATTTGTGATTTTTCCCACCCATAAACCTTCCCCCTCCACCATCACCTCTATGAAAAAAGGAGGAAGTATATTTTCTTATCTCTTCTCTAGAGCCAGGTTTGGTTATTATAATTACACAGAGGTCAGTGGGGGGCCGATTGGATTTTAGACTCTACAATCCAACTACTTTCTTCCTTGATAATAATTTGGAAGTTCTAATCTGTTGATCTAACCCACAGGCAGGTGTGTGGGACAGCGACCCCAACCCAAATTAAACTCAGAGACTTCTCAAAGTGGAAAGCAAAGGTTACCTTTATTACAATCTCCCAAGATGGCTGTCTGCTCCTCAGATACATGTGGAGAGAGAGACCGCCTAACAGGGCCCGCCTTATAAAAGCAAATCTCCGCCCACCATGAAAACAAGTCTCCACCCACCACTATCCCTTACTCCCTTAACTGGGGGGTGGGCTTACATTCTAACTGGGAGGTGGGGCTTACATTGTAAGCTTGAAAGTTTCTTCCTATCCCCTTAACCGGGAGGTGGGGCTTACATTCTAAGCTCCAGAGTTTCTTCCTATCCCCTTAACCAGGAGGTGGGGCTTACATTCAAGGCGAGAAATTCAAAGCCAAGGACAAAGGGCTCAGGTTGGGGGTGGGGCAGGGCTTATTCTTTCTGTTAAGTGCTTAAAACCAGGGTCTGAGTGGGGGAGGATTTTGAAAATAGTAATCAAGAATTATTTGACCCTTTGAGGAGCCTTCACTTCTGAGAGTTCATTTCTCACACTACCTTCTGAACTCATTACCTTAATTACACTGAGAAGTCTTCACTGGGACATCCCATTCACAGGGAACCTGTGGCCTCGGGGGCTTTCTGTGTCGTTGGATGTAACTTTTGACTGAGTCCAAGTTTTACAGAACAAATCCTTTTATTAAGGGGATTTGTTCTGTAAAGTTGAGATTCAGTCAAAGGATCGCACTTAAGGACCTAGAGGGCCACATGTGGCCTGGAGGCCGAAGGTTCCCCACTCTTGATCTAACCTAATACTCAAACAGATATCGATTTAGTCCCCTTAAGTTGAGGAATTTCCAGAATTGGATCAGGTACCTTATGCATCACTTCTATGAGAATCGAGTCTACCTGGAAGCTATGGTTTTGGCCACTATCCACTTCTGAATAGTCATTTAAGAAATTAAACAAAAACTGGACTGGATTTGGCAATGTAGTGAGACTGAATTATCATTTGACTTCCATTTGGCTCCATGTGAGGCTTCCTTTAAAGGGTGGTTTCTTTTAGATTACCCTATAGACCAACCCCCTTGTGCTCCTAATGATGACATTTCACGGCTCCTTTTGTAGTAATATTTGTGTCTTTGAGTAATTTGTTTTTCTTTCTCATTATTTTATATTTTCTGTTAATAGTCTTTACTATGAAATGCTCCTTGTGTTGTCTATTCTTAACTCCTTTAGTTTAAGCTTGTATTATCTAAAAAATCTAGGCAGGAACTGAATCTGGAAACACACCCATGGTATTTACCTTCTAAGAGTAAAATCCTGCCCTGGACTGATAACCCTCCAGGTTAAAGGCAAAAGAAACATGAATATGTGTCACACCTTGTCTCACTGATCTAGAAAACTGGCATATTACCATCACATCCCTGTGAAGGGCATGATGGGTGGGGTGTTTCATCATCATTCTTAGTTTATAGATGGGAAAAGAAAACAAATCTGAGACCCAGAGACTTGTCTCTTCATCCCAACAGTGAAATAGGAGCAGAGAGGGGAACTAGATCCTGTTCACTTTTCTGAACATCTAGGGAAATCATTATAGACCCAGCCTCAGAGGTAAAAACAGTAGAGTTGGAAGCTTTATAGATTTGGAGTCAGGGGGCAAAGACAGAGGTGGCGGGGTGGGGGGTGGAGGGCACCAAATCTTGGCCCTACCACTTACTAGCTGTGTGATGTTGGACTAGTTATTTTGCATCTCTGGGCCTCACATTGTTCTTCTGTAAAATGAAGGAAGTTGAACTAGATGACTTCTGAAGTCCCTTTCAGCTTTTAACCTATGATTCCATGTCTGCTTTTTCCTTTAAAATTTTTTTTCCCCAATTACTTGTAAAAACAATTTTTAACACTCATTTAAAAAAATTTTTGAGTTTCAAATTCTCTCCCTCCCTCCTTCCTATTCTCCCTCATTGAAAAGGCTAGAAATTTGATATAGGTTATACATATGCAGTCATGCAAAACATATTTTCATATTAGTCACGTTGCAAAAGAAAACCCAGACCCCCCCAAAAAAAAAAGAAAAAGAAAAAGAAAATTAAAAAAAGGTTGCTTCAATCTGCATTCAGATTCCATAGTTCTTTCTCTGGAGGTGGATAGCATTTTTCAACATAAGTACTTTAGAATTGTCTTGGATCATTGTATTGCTGAGAATAGCTAGGTCGTTCAATATTACTGTTATTGTGGGTACTCTTCTCCTGGTTCTGGTCACTTTGCTTTGTAAGGTCTTCCAGGTTTCTTTGAGAGCATCCTGCTCATCCTTTCTTACACCACAATAGTATTCCATTACATTCATATACCACAACTTGTTCAGCCACTCCCCAATTGATGGACATCCCCTCAATTTCCAATTCTTTGCTACCACAAAAAGAACTATGTAGAGCTTTTTTTGTTTCTTTCTTTTCCTTTTTCTTTCTTTCTTTACTTCTTTTCCTCTTTCTCTTTCTTCCTTCTTTCTTTCCTCCTTTCTTTCTTTCTTTCTTTCTTTCTTTCTTTCTTTCTTTCTTTCTTTCTTTCTTTCTTTCTTTCTTTCTTTCTTTCTTTCTCTCTCTCTCTCTCTCTCCCTCTCTCTCTCTCTCTCTCTCTCTCTTTCTTTCTTTCTTTCTTTCTTTCTTTCCTCCTTGGGATGTAGACCTAATCATACTGGTATCGCTGGGTCAAAGGTTATACACAGCTTTATAGCTCTTTGGGCAAAGTTCTAAGTGAGCTTTTATTATTATTATTATTATTATTATTATTATTATTATTATTATTGTTATTATTATTATTATTATTTGCCTTCTTTCCCTTCTTATGCCAGTGTCTAGGTAGTCTTGGAGACAGATGATTAATGGGAGTTTGGGGGGAATATAGGAGGTATCCTCCTTCATGGTTTAATATGCTTTGCAAGATGCAATATTCCTTAACTTTCTCCCAATTACCTGCCAGGTTTTTATTCCCTCTGCTATTAGTGATTTGGTCTAAGATTCTTATATCATTTTGGACACTATTCTAAACATGCAACCGGGTACGTACACCATTTTAAAGATAAGACATTAAAAAATTAGTTCCACTTAATTTCCCCACCATTTCTTTGTGCTCCCTGTATTAAGGCAAAGTCCAACCTGTTTCTGCCTTGAGTGGAAAGCTGGTGATGAAATCTCTGATAGCCAGAGTCCTGGGGTTGTTTTCTAATTATCCTTTGAGTCAGAGTGAATAATACTCTCCTTGCTTCACACTCTCAGTTAGTATCTGAGTTTTGTTTGATTTGCATACACATGTGTATATGTTTGAGAACTAGCCTTGTGTATTAGAGAGCTGTCCTCAGAGCCAGGAAGACCTGGGTTCAAGACCCGCCTCTGACATGTGTACTAGCTATGTGACCCTGGGCAAGTCATTTAATGTCTAGGTGTTCTGGGCAACTTTCTAACACTATAAGTTGCAGAAAAGTTGCCAGTCTTCATTGGTAGAGAGTTTCCTTATCTGGGAGTTCCCTAGGTCAGTGAAATCATGCATCTAGACCCTACCCCTATCCTATATGTCTGTTTATCAACTACTCCCCTCCCAAGAAACCAATATGCTTGGATTTCAGCTATAAATATGATAGCTAAAGGACCTTAATAATTCCAGGTACTGTGATGATCTCTTATTCTGGGAAGTTAGTGGAACGTCCTGGTATATTCTGTATTGGGCTGGGAATGGAGTATGAGGCAGATTCTTCTCCTTGGGCTCTATCACCCCAAGTAGTTTCTTCAAGGTTCTCCCTGAGCATCTATAGCATGTGGTGATAAGGGCCATCTCATCCAGCTATCCCTATCTCAACCACAGGTACCTCTATGGATCTAGGATGATGATTCCAGGAAAAGCTCAGAGATATGGATGCAGGCTGGGGCAAGTCTAGGAGCTAACCTGGTCCCTCATAGAGATAGAGAAGAGACAGACTGTATAGGAAAGTACTTAAGAGGGCCAGATAAACATAAGCTGGTCTTATCATGATTGCTCCCAGGGTTTGGCTATGGGTCCACTTAAGTCTGAGAGGCAGAATATTCAGGAGAAACTTGGGGATAGCCATAGAGTAAGTTTAAGGTTTAAGGGAATGCTTAGGCTGGATCCAGGAACCAAGCAGGATGGGCTTAAGTGCAAATTTAGACCAAATAAAATGTGAATGAATGATTTGCCTGCAAGTATTGAAAAACACTGAGCTCAGTTTTTTTCTTTTTTCTTTTTTTTTTGAAGTAGTGATCTATAAAATGCTCTGGTGCTAAAAAAAAGATGGAAATATAAATAATGCAGTTCTTTTCCTTCAAATTTTAGGGAATTTTTCTAATAGAGTAAAAAATATTATTTGATCCAAAGGCTTGTCTCCTTTTCTGGCCCCAGAGAAGCAGTGTAACTCAGGTTCTGGAGAATGAGGTAGACTAAAGTCTTTTGTTAGCTGTGTCACTACCCTTTTGTGACTTTCCACCCTATCTCTGTATTTCTGTTTTTCCTGCGGTCATGGGATGTTCTCAATTCTAATCAACAACACGACTACTCTGATAAGATGTCATTGTGCTGTATAAAGGATGTCAGGTTGATTATTTGATCCCATTGGATTCAGTAGGAAATGAAATTTTTTTAAAAATTGCTTTTTGGGTCACATCTTTTTCTGACCTTATATAATATCAATAACAACAATAATAGTAGAATAACAATAATAGCAATATTAGCATTTGTATAGTGCTTTAAGATTTGTAAAAGGTAAGAGCTATTATTATCATCCCTATTTTTACAGATGAGGAAGCTAAAGCAGAGAAAGGTTAAGTGACTTGCCCAGGGTCAAACAGCTAAGTGTCTGAGGCTGGATTTGAATTTGGATCTTCCTGATTTCAGATCCATTGCTCTGTCCACTGTATCACCTAGCTTACAAATTTGTAAATACATGGATACATGACTAAAGTAGAATTTCTTTGGGAAGAAATAGTTTTGCATTTTAGGTTGAGGAAATAATCCAACATTTCTCTTCCCTCCACAGCTCACAAATCTATACAGTTCATCTCCAGCTCTGAGTCGATATTTTGCATCAGTTGAAATAGCTGACTCCAGGTAAGAATGTGGAGAAGTCTTTAGAAATTTTGGGCTCATAATGACTTTCTATAAAGGCATGGTGGCATAGTAGATAAAGACCTGGCCTTGGAGTCAGGAAGAACTATTTTCCTCTGAAACATGTTGGTTCTGTGACCCTACGCAAGTCATTTAACCAAACTTTCAGTGCCCCCAGGCAATTTAAGAAGATGAATAGAATTTGAAGACTGACATGGGTAGGAGTTCCAAATCTAGAAGTTTCCTATACCAATAAAAATTACAGATATAGGGGCAGCTAGGTGATGGAATGGATAGAGCTCTGGTCTTAGAGTCAGAAGGACCTGAGTTCAAATCTGGCCTCAGACACTTGACACTTATTATCTGTGTGACCCTGGGCAACTCCCTTAACTCTGATTGCCTCACCCAAAATAAAAAAAAAAATCACAGATTTAGTCCCTATTTCTTACTCCCTGTGGCATTGTTTATTTTTCCTCAAAGTTCAACCAAAGGAAGGTTTTCCTCTTTGCAAGGGTCTTGTGACTAGACTCTTGAGTTTTTCCTGGGAAATTTAAAAATATGAAATAGGTACTAGATTATCTGAGATGATGCTTTGGCAGGAAGGTAGACTATGAGGTCCCTTGCAGTCCAAAACTGATGCGATTGCCCAAGTGTTTTGGAAACGTCATTGGTTAAGGGATGGATGTGAACGATCATTCATCATTCACATCTAATAGATGTAAGTGCTTATGAAGGGCAGAAATAGTAATACCCCTGGGGAGGCAGTATAATAATGATGTAATTCTGGAAATTATATGTGCTTTTGAGGAACTCAGGCATTTCTTTACCCAATATATTCAACATACCTGGGACCTACGTGAAGGGATAGGAATGACGTTCCACTTTCCTGGAGGACTAATGGAGACCCAAAAAAGTTTACTAGCAAAAGTCCTAGTTTCTCAATATTTCAATAGCCCCTAATTGTGACCTTCTCTAAGGTATGACAAATAAAGACATAGGAGAAAAAGAAAAGAAGATTTTTAAGGCAGAAAAGAACCTTCTTGAGAATCTAATCCAAATGGGCAGAATGGGCAATTGCATTGAGACAATGTGATATTCCCAAAGGAGTATTTTTAAAACCTAGCTCTGGCACACACTAGCTGTCATCTCTCTGTACCTCAGTTTCCTCATCTGTACTTCATAATGTGATCAAGAGAAAAAACACTTTGTAAATCTTTGAATACTGAAAAAATATTGCTACTGTTGTTATTTTGCTAGACTTTGCTAGGGACTTTGGAAGAAAAGGATTGTATTACTAGGGGAAGCTACATAGGAGCTGAGGCACTTATGCATAAAAAATCAGTGTTCTACCCGCTATAATCCCCATTCCCATTTTCATATTATCTTACAAGGTGAAATATTGTCTTTTTTGAAAAATAATAAGAGACGGCTAAGAAGTGAAGTAGATGGAGTTCTGGGTCTAAAGTCAGGAAGACTCAAGTTCAAGTCTGACCATAGACACATACTAGCTGGGTGACCCTGTCACTTAACCTCGGTCTGCCTCAGTTTCCTCAACTATAAAATAGGGGTAATAATAGCACCTACTTCCTATGGTTGTTGTGAAGATCAAATGAAGTTAGTTATATTTGTAAAGCACTGAGCACAGTGCATGGCACATGCTAGGGGCTTAGTAAATGCTTGTTTTGTCTTATTGGGTTTTTTTTTACCCAAACTTCATTTATCTCCTGTCACCTTGGGAAAATATTTTGTTCCTTCACCTGTAAGTAGAATTTCTTCTTCAATTTTAATATTTTACTTTTTCTAATTACATGTAAAAACAATTTTAACCTTCATTTTTTATAATTTTGAGTTCTAAATTCCCCCTTATTTTCTCCTCCTCCTTCATTGACAAGGCAAGCAATTTGATAAAAATTACACATGTGCATTCATGCACAAATATTTCCATATTAGTCATGTTGTGAAAGAAAACACAAACCAAAAAAAAAGAAAAAGAAAAGTTAAAAAAAACCCAGCATGCTTCAATCTGCATTCAGATTTCATCAGTTCTTTCTCTGGAAGTGGATAGCGTTTTTCATCATGGGTCCTTCAGAATTTTTATAAGTGGAATTTCCAAAAAACACCAAAAATACCCCCTGGCATTTATTCAGCACTTACAATAAAATCGCTTTGCTTGGTGCTAAGGACATGCTGATAATAAACAACATAGTCCTTGTTCTCCAGGACTTTCCAGTCCAGGGATGGGTAGAGGAATATACACAAATGATTACAATAGAAAAGACTGTGGTAGGTTGGGAAGAGAATTGACTTGGGAACCCTGAAAGACCTGAATTCAAATTTCACCTCCTACATTTATTAGTAGTTCAAATATAGGCAAGTCATTTAACTTCTGAGCCTGAAATGCTGCACTTTTTAATCATTTCTCCTTCTATTATTTTCCCCTCTAAGGTTGCCCTTGATGTTCATTTTGACCAGATAACATCTATACCAAAATGGTGTAGGATGATTTTACACTGATGTTCTCTTCCTAGGACAGATTGTTCCATATAATGTTTCATAGGATTAGTGTAGGTTTCAGAGCTGGAAAGGACCTCATGAGGTTAAATGACTTGTCTAAGGTCACATGGGTGGTGAGTAGCAGAGCTAGGATTCAAACCCAGGTCCTCTGATTCCAAATCAATTGTTCTCAACACTGGATCATTTCTTCAGCAATGTGGTTTCACAGCATTGTTGTTGTTCAGTCAAGTTCAGTCATGTCCCACTCTTTGTAACCCCATTTAGAATTTTCTTGGTAAGGATACTGGAGTGGTTTGCCGTTTCCTTCTCCAGCTCATTTTACAGATAAGGAAATGTGGCAAACAGGGTTAAGTGACTTGCCCAGGGTCACATGACTAGTAAGTGTTTAGACCAGATTTGAATTTAGGAGATTAGACCTAACTCTAGGCCCAGAACTCCTTCCACTTTGCCACCTAGCTACCCAGCATTATTAGTACATTATAATATGATTCAGTGGATAGAGGGCTGTCCTAAAGTTAGGAAGATGTGTTCAGGTTCTGACTTTGACAAATGATGTGTGACTCAATGTACTGGTCAACTTTTATTGCCTCAGGCAATTCTGAGACTATATGTAACCTACTGGTTTTAATCAGCTTGAAGGGTGAAAGGTGGGAGTTTCCCATCTGGGTCTGGACCTAAAACAACCCAAAAACAAGCCCTACTTTAGCTTTGCAAAACTCTACTGTGACATTCTCCCTGTTGTCTGAAATGCAAATTGCATAATTGGTGAAAATCTTAGCTAATTCCCAGCATTTTTTCCCCCCAGAACCACTTGAGGATGAAGGGTAGGTGTGCCTATAAACCCTTCATCTGAAAGACTTGAGAAAGCTGAGTCACTTAAGTACACAGATATTCCCTGGTCCAAGCTCTTTTCTTATCTGGGCTTTGGGTGATAACTGAGGATGGATTTCAGTGCTGAATGAAAATGAATAGAAGATACTGCTGTAGATCTCTCCTGGCAACATTTAGAGTAGGTGGGAAGAAGAATTGGACTAGAGTTGGAAAAAAAAGAATGAGAGTATTTTATACATTTTGGTTAAGAAAGCTTTTTGGAATAAATTGCCCAATTTTTAGGTTTTCTCAGAGAAGAAAATGGAGGAAGAAAAAAGTCACCACCTCTCCAAATGGTACCTTTACTACTCAAGCAGAAGGAAGTTAAACCTTCATTTTCTGTAAATTCATTCGCACTAACTCAAGTACTCAAGTGCTCACCAGTGATGAAGATCAAAACCCACGCCAAGCCTGTCCATCCTTTGTGACTCTTTGCTTTTCTTAGTATCCCCAGTGTTTGCTTGGTGCATAGTAGACCCTTGATAAATGCTTGTTGACTTGCTTACTACCTATGTGACTTTGGGGAAATCATGTAACCTCACTTGGACTTAATTCTTCATCTGTAAAATGAGAGTGTGGTATTAAATAACCTCAAAGATCCCTTATGCCTTTAAATCTCTGATCTCTGATCCTCCATCACCATTGGTATTTAAGCCCTCCATCTTCTCTGGCCAGTCCTGCCCTCCTGAAACTCTACCCAATGGCCTTGCCTTAGGGGAATTTGAATTATGCCAAAGTAGTAGGTACTCTGACACTCCCAGCTATATCTTCCCCTTTTGCTTCTGCAGGGATCTTCAAAGTAGAAAGCCTTGCTTTGTAATAGCTTTGCTTGGTTACTGCCCAACCCTATTCATAACTCAGCCTGTACCTTTAGTGGGTGAAAGCTCAAGTCCAAGGCCAGATGAGGAAATGAGGCCCAGAGAAAGGAGGGGACTTCCTCAAAGTTGGGCCAAATTAGCAGCAGAGCTGAAACTAGAATCTAGATCTCTTTTCTGATTATGCCAGTCTTCTCCAATAGGACATTTGTTGTCCACTGGGAGAATTAAAGATAAGGCCAGGGAGCTGAACGATGATAAGGAGGTGGAGGTGGTGGTGCCACGTGGTGATGGTGGAGGTTTGAACAGGCTGTCTTGAGTTGCTTCTTATTCCCATTTCTTTAGTTAACTAGCCACTCCACAGCCTACAAGACTCTCCCAGCTGGCCAAGCCCCTGACAAAGAGAACAGTATCATCAGTTCCCATTGCTTTATCATGTCACAACCATTATTGCATCTGATCCTACAGGCAGCCCTTGAGGTAAATGAGCCAAGAATGATTGTCCTGGTAGCTCCTCTTAAAGGGTTGACTATTATTAAAACTAATTAGAGGAAGGAAGAGGTTTCATGAGATATGAAACTCAAGTAATTGGATTCCAAAGTCCAAAGCAAAGTAAAGTTTAGGAGCAGTGGGTGAGAAAGTACAAAGATGCAAATTGAAGCTTTTGAGTCAATAAAAATTGATTAAGCACCCACAACGTGACAGGCACTATATACTAAGCAGCAAGGATACAAAGCAAGGTAAAATACTGTTTTCTGCTTCCAGCTCTCCCAACAAAAAAGAGCTGGAGGACTATTTCTCCTAAAGCTGTGATTCTTAGGCCTCCCTCATTGTTTGTAAAAGGCCAATGGGAATGTGACCATTAGAGGATGCCATTTACCTATTCATCTTAAGCCTCCAATCCTTCCAATAGGAATTTAGATATTGCTTGCATTTCTGCAAAATATTTCCCTGAGAGGATACTCCCAAGTGGGAGTATCTGTACTTTTCTTAATTGTTATTGCTAATATTCTGTTTGAGTCAACTTGAACCAATGGAACAAGAGAGGAGTCGCAGCTAAGGTTAAATATTTAGGCCACATTTAACTAGGATTTCAAACCATTAATTAGCTCATCCCCACGGTATCTCTCAGAGCACTTTAATACATGTATTCTTATTTTAGAGTCAAGGGAAATAAGTTGAAGAAAGGGTGAGAAGCTTGCCTTAAGGCATATGGCCAACACTTACAAAGCTGAGCTTGGTTCAAGGTGAGAGGGCCATAGATTGAGAGCTAGAAGGGGCTGTAAAGGTGTCAACCCACTTATTTTATAGGTTGAGGCTGAAGCCCAGAGAAATTAAGTAACTTTTAAGAGGTCACATAGGCAGGTAAGTAGCAGAGTTGGGGAGTCAGAACTCAGATCCTTTGACTCCAAATCCAAAGCTCTTCCCAATGTACTGCACTGCCTATTTGCCTCCAGTCCAGTCTGAAAAGTATATGAAAAACTATAGGAATCTATTATTACACTGGCAAGGAGTTCCCTATTTTGAAACAAACTACTCAGTATGTTGGGTGCTGCCATACTGTTTTGAGTTGAGAGTATACGTTTCCTCTGGAGGACTTCCTTCTCCCTATCCTCAAGCCATACCCCTCCAACATCTGTCAGGGGAGAAGGAAGAATTACCCTACAGTAACATGGACCTAGTTTAGCCTGGATTGGCTCACATTGTGGGCCCTGCCTCCAGCACACTTACTCTAACTATGAATCAGGTTAAAAGGTACATTAAGTTAAAGTGTATGATTGATATCGTATTGCTTGCCTTTCCAATGGGTGGGGGAATGCCTGGAGAGAGGAAGAGAATTTAAAACTCAAAATTTAAAAAAATCAATGCTAAAAATAATTTTTAAAAAGTTTTTCAAAAAGGTACATTAAGGGAAAAATGGAGAGGGAAAGAGATTGTAGTTGGCGGTATTGTGGCTAATTATATGTATGAGTGATATTGACATGAACAAAAAACTCTGAGAAACAGTTTCTGGATAATTAATAATCAATTTATTAATTAGTCTATTTGGCAATCAATAAGTTGATGGTCAGTGGTTTCTCTGGTAACCAAAGACACCAAGGGACACCTACAGATGCCTTAAATACCTTCTGGAAGTGACTTCTGACAAGTGAAAATCAGTCTTGATTGGTAGACATTTAATGAGGAGGTGGACTAGATCATGAGACTCAGCAGCCTCCAGAAATCTAGGGAAGGGGTAGCCATATCCATCTGGACTTCTCTGATTAGTTTTTTCTCTTTATGAGCTGGGTTACCCAAAACTCTAGTGGAGAGGGCCATGGACAAGGATTCCTTCCCTCAGGGGGAAGGGCTTGCCCTGACTGGATTTTGTTTATACTCTAAACAGAAATTAGGTCTTCTAATTAGGTGGGGTCCTGCCCGAGACTGACTAGCTTCTTTCTTGAGGGTTAGGAATAATTTCATCAATCTGTCCTTCAGAGACTGACTTTAATAAGAGCTGGGCCTTAATGAGGAAATAGGAGAAAAGCCTCAATCACAAATTAATAATTGGTTATTGATATAACAGTATAATAATAATTTCTCTCAATATATTTTACTTATTATAGAGATGTAAGCTAAGTCACTTCACATCTACTCCAACCCAGCTAGGGCAGAGATGGAGCGTGGATAATACAGCTCATACCCTAATGAATGTGGTTTCTTCTCAAGAAAAGGCATTTTTGACATCTCCTTTCACACATGCATATGCTACTTAGAAGGCATCATGGAGTAGTAGAGAAAGCTTTGGACTTTGGATCGGGAGAAACCTGGGACAGTTTTCCAGTTTATATAATCATGAGAATGTCAGTTACTCCCCAAACCTTAGTTTCCCCATCTTTAAAATGGGGAAACTCATAGCTATAATATGTATTTCACAAGGTTTATTGGGGAATCAGGGAGGAATCTAATGACATTATGTTTATAAAGTACTTTTTCAACTTTAAAACTTTTTAGAAATAAGAAAAATTAAAAGGCCTTTCTTTTATCGTCGAGTTGTGTTTTCTGTGTGTTTACTGTCTCTGTATTTGAAATGTTGTTCAGCAGTGACAATTCCACTATGGCATACCACCTGCACTTTGCAGTTCCATTGGAGGATGACATCTTCATGAAGTATATGATGAGTGAGGAGTTGGTGCTGGGCATTTTACGTCAAAATTTTCATGATCAGAGTGTATCAGGCTGTGAAACTCTGGGAACTGACCCAGCTTCTCTGTCACTCTCCTGTAAGTATAGTAGGCATCACAGAGTAGAAGTGTGGAAAAATACAGAGAAAAAACATGGATGCTGGGCCTAAATATTAAGATTTAAGATTTGCAAAGAGCTTTACAAATATCTCATTTTATCCCACAACAACCATAGGGCATAGATATAATCATTATCCTCACTTTACAGATGAAATAGCTGAAGCAGGCAGAGGTTAAGTGACTTACCCAGGGTCACACAGCTAGTAAGTATCTGAGGTCATATTTGAACTTGGGTATTCCTGACCAGTTGTCTAGGGGCTGGACTAGCTGACTGCCTCACAGAGACCTGCATTCTATTCAATTAGTCCTACATTCTAAGGCATGAACCAAGCCACTTATGTTATCCACTTATGTTATGTTAAGCCACTTACATTATGATTAAAAACTTCAGTAACTTTTCTAAGCAAACAGTGGGAAGAGGAAAGAGAAGAAACTAGAGATAGGAAAACCAATCAGGAGGTTATGATAATAGTCATCTAGATATGAAGTTGTGAATCTAGATATGAAGATGAGCAGCAAGGGAGTGCCATAGTACACAGAGTACCAGGCCTGGAGTCAGGAAGAATCATCTTCCTAAGTTCAAATCTGGCCTCAGACACTTACTATGTTAGTAATCCTGGGCAAGTCACTTAACCCTGCTTGCCTCAGTTTCCTCCTCTGTAAAGTGAGTTGGAGAAGGAAATGGCAAACCACTCTAGTATCTTTACCAAGAAAACCCCAAATGGGATCACTGAAAAATGAATGAATAACAACAAGATATGAAGAAATGAGAACTTGAACTAGACTTAGTTGCAAAGAGGGAGCAGTTGTAAGAAACATTTTAGAGACAGAATATACAAAATTTGTCACTGATTAGGTGTGCGGGGATGAGGGAGAAGGAAAGAAATGAAAAGTTAGGAGCCTGGATGACTGCAGAGATGGTGGTACTTTAAATACAAATGTTAGGATGAGGGTTAGATGTTTTATTTTCTAAAAAGGGTGAAGAATTCAGCTTTGGACAAAATCATCTTTGAGGTGCTAGTAGGCCATCCAAGTGGAAATGTCATCATATCATGGCAAAAATTTGTTGTATCTGTGCTTTAAATTAAGCCACTATGCACAGTCAGACCACTAGAATCCAGCTGGTTTGGATTAACTCAGCACCAGAAAAACTTAATTTGAGGGCAGCTAGGTGGTGCAGTGGATAGAGCACGGGCCCTGGATTCAGGAGGACCTGAGTTCAAATCCAGCCTCAGACATAAAACACTTACTAGCTGTGTGACCCTGGGCAAGTCACTTAACTCCATTGCCTAGCCAAAAAACAAAAGAACAGAAAAACTTAATTTATTCTTCAGTAATCCAAACACTAACACAATCTCACATCTGTGAGTAATCAAGTTGATTAATCATAAATAGACTTTCTCTTCTAGACAGTGTTTAAAGTTAACAGAGCTGAGTGCAGAGATCTAAGAGACCAGGGTATGAAGCTCTTGCTCTGTGATTAATGAACTTTGTGATCTTGGGCTAGTCACTTAACCCCTTTAGTCCTTAGTCCCTACATATGTGAAAGAGAGGTGGTGGTGAAGGCTACTTTCAGCTCTAATAACCTGTAGACCTTTCACTTGGGCAGTTAGTTGGTGAAGTGAATAGAGTGCCAGGCCTAGGGGTAATGCTTATTAGCTGTATGACCCTGGGCAAGTCACTTAACCTTGTTTGCCTCAGTTTTCTCATCTGTAAAATGAGCTGGAGAAGGAAATGGCAAACCACTTCAGTATATTTGCCAAGAAAACCCCAAATGGGGTCATGAAGAGTCAGACACGACTGAACAACAAAGCCTTTCAACCTCTTTGTTTTTTAGTTGGTTTTTCATTTTGCCCAACTCTTCATGACCCTTTTTGGGGTCTTCTTGGCTAATAAGTGTCTGAGGCAGGATTTGAACCTAGGACTGATTTCAGTCCCAGTACTCTATCCACTGGGCTACCTAGCTGTCCCTCTTTCTTTGCATTCCAATAATTCTATTAAACTTTTTTTTTCTTATCACTCTATACAATCCTTTTCTAGTTCTTCCTACAACCCTCTCCTCTGGTTATTCTACCACAAATTTAAAATTCGTCTTCCTCGTATAAACACATGACTCTTCCACCCTAACTTGAATTTCGACTGCCATTTTGTCAAAATTTTTTTTTTTCTAAATGGATGCATGACTCCTATCTTCTACTTATATATTATTGAAACAGGGGCTTTTGATTATATATTGGAAAGCCTGATAATTCAGGCCTATTAGGATTATACATTAACCAAAACTTCTCTGGCTATAAGAAAAATTCTTGGCTTTAAATCCTTGGTCCTATGAACCTATCTTCAGTCAGTAGTCAGTCAACAAACACTTATCAAGCATCTACTATGTACCCAGCACTATACTAACATTTGGACACACAAAGAAAGGTAAATGACAGCCCTTGCTCTCAAGGAGCTTATAATCAAACCCTTGGTATTTCTTTTTCTCTTTTGTAATTGATCTGAGTATGTGCCTTATCTTAGATGGCAAGCTTCTTGAGGGGTAGGTTCCTCATTATATCCATATTTGTATTCTAGTGCCCAGTAGAGCGGATTGCATGTAGCAGATGCTCAAACATGTTAATTTGATCAACATTCAAGCATCATGATGCTGGCCAGCAAAAAGCCTACTTGGTCCACAGAGTAGTGAATCTTCTTAGCCAAAAATGAGGTGATTTGGAGCTTAATCATGAGAGATCATTGAGAGGAAGAAAATCCATTTAATTGTTATTTATGGATGTAAGAGCAGTATTTTGTGATTGCCTTATTGAGGAGACAAAAGATTTATGCATTAAAGATGAATTAAGATTTTATGTATGGGAGCAGAGGGGAAAGAAAAAATTGGGGGAGGTCTGGAAAGCCTTATGCAAAAGAAATACAAAATTCTAGGGTAACAAAAAAAGAAGTTATTAAGGGTATCTCTGAAGTTTGGTGAAAAAAAATTATGATGAGGGTTATAGGAGGCAATATAGCCTGGTGGAAAGAAGGGCAGAGCTGGGAGTAAGGAGACTTGGGTTGTGTCCCACCTCTGACAATTTACTAAGAGTCTGGTAATGGTAAGCTCCTCAACTTCCCTTAACTTTACTTTTCTCATCTGTAAAATGAGCTAATACTTGCACTACCCACCTCAGCTTTATTGCAAATATACCTTATAAGGTGCAAAGCACTGTATAAATATGAAATATTTTTTATTGAGGAAAATTACTATACAGGTGTATGTATACATACATACATACATATATATATATATATGTATGTATGTATGTATGTGTGTGTGTGTGTGTGTGTGTGTGTGTGTGTGTGTGTGTGTGTATAGTTGTTGTGGTTCAGTCATATCAGATTCTTCATGACCCTGTGGATCAAGCCAATATTGTCCATGGGAATTGTTTGGTTCTCCATTTCCTTGTGTTTCCTATATACATACGTAGGGTGTCCCAAAAGTCTTAGTGCAGTTTTCTGTCATTGAAAAAAAAATCTTAAAATAGCATTAAAACTTTTGGGACACCCAGCATACTAGAGGTGTGGGTGTGGATTGGAGAAGAAATTTTTAATTTTTG